GGGGGGGGGGGGGGGGGGGGGGGGGGGGGGGGGGGGGGGGGGGGGGGGGGGGGGGGGGGGGGGGGGGGGGGGGGGGGGGGGGGGGGGGGGGGGGGAAGGCTGCAGCAGCCCCGCCTCCTCCAGCTCGTACGCCTACGATGTTCACACTTGTCAGTTCTGTTTCCTGAAAAAAAAAAATGCCTCGGCGTGCACGTTTATAGAGCTTAATTAACACACATAATTGACTATGGAACAACTTTCCGGTTCAAAGCTGATGTCAGCCTTAACCGCAGTTGTTATTCATAAGAAATTTTACTGAGATCGATAGATGGATAACCAGACATTCTCTTATGTGTAAAGTTCATCAGTTTTAATATTCACGCACCCTGAAAGGGCGAGGTGTTTAAATGTCGAAGCTAACAAATGCAACATTACTCATGAATATACGTTATTTGCCGGCCGGGAGGTCCGCGTAAGGAAAAACTGCCGGTAGATAAGTGTTCATTTTTTTTCTCTACGGAATTGCTTTGAAAGCAGTTCAAATATGATGTGCGCGTGCATTGAATTAGGCACTAAAATCGGTTTGCAGAATTTGTAGCGATGTATTTGTTTGAGTATTGCTGCACATAGGGTAATAACAGACAGTTCCTATAGCTCTATCTGATCCATTTTTGCAATATAAATAGTCTTAACTTTACTTACCTTACCTTACTTTATGTGTTGAATGTTCACATTTTATGTTGTTTTACGGTGTAATAAAACGCTTGAAAAGTTGCTGAGTTGAAAAGTGCGGAGCGGTCCGTACTTTATCGTGCGCGATTAGCTAATCATAATCAAGGATTTAGGATTCCGGACCGCAGCGAGAGAAGCTGGAGATAAAAAGATAGAAAGAAGTCCCAAAAGAGGAATGAGAAAAGTGCAAAAAGGAAGCCAAGAGAGCGCTGAGTAAAAAAGGAGTTGACATTCCTCTGAATTTTTATATGGTCTAGTTTTGAGAAAGGTTTAGTTAAGAAAAAAAAAAGGAATCTAGATTTAGTTGCGGTGAAAAGGGTCAAATCGACATTAACCACCTTTCAAAAATCCAATCATATATTTAATGCATAAGCTGCAAAACAAACTAAGAATGTAAACAATATTCTTTTCTATAATTGTAAGGTTTATATCATCACATCCAATGGGCACATTAGAAGTAACCGATGTTGAAGTAGTGAGATCAAAGTGTACTGAACAAAGCAAGTCTTAAGTTTCAGGGTGTCTCATGTCATCAAAGGGAACTTCACTGGACACTGTGGTGCAGTTTTGGTGCATTTCAGCATAACCAAGACGATATCGAGAGCCACTAAATAAATAATTAATCAAATAAATAAATAAATAAATACAGAAACAAGATATTAAATAAATAAAATTAAATAATTAGATAATTCGTACAGCTCGAATATATATACCGCCTTTTCTTCTGGTATCTACATCTACACTACACTTAGTTAGGTCGGTAAAAATCGTGAATGTGTAATATTTTCTCGTGTGACTGTTATTAAAACCACAAGTCTTTGCTTATTATTAGCAATAACGTGCAGCGGGCCCATAAATGCTTTGTAATAGCGTTTAGGCCTAACCTGTATCCTAATTGCTGAGAAAGTAAGTACCTAAGTATGTAAGTATTTTAAGTAATGTGTAATTTTTAAGTTTTTGAAAGCTTTGTCGATTTAAGGTATAATGAAAACGCTACACGGAAAAGATAAGACTATCTTTAGCACAAAGCAAGAAGGTATTCCAGCTAATACCTTGAAATAGTCAATCATCAAACGAATAAATTAATAAAGTATGATTATACTGCTCAACTGGATGCTTCGCATGAGGCAAATAAGTATTATGTCTTTTCATTAAACACGTCTTCATAAATCACCAGTCATGCATGTCACTCAAGGATTGAATGTAAACCCATGGAAGTTACGACATCAGATTCTATAGCCCTGATGATTAATGAAATTGTGGACATGGATTTAAAATGCTACCTACTTCATATTGCTTACTTTTACCAGTGACCAATCCCCAATCTATGATGACGCCAAGCCTCTTTTTAGAAAGAAATTCGTTGGCGCAATAAAAGTAATTGCCAGCAAAGAATGTATTCATTCCGCCAGCACCACCCAAGGCTGAGGGGTGGCCTCCCATGAGGACGTAGTTCTTGGGTCTACTGATAATGCTTGGTACGAGTGTTATGTCAGTCTTACTGGCCCGACTGGGATTAAAACATTCAATGAATGAGTCAAACTTTCTGCGAACAGTGAAATCTTGGGCAACTTTTCCCCAGAGAATCCAAACAGTTGGTTCGGGAAGGTGGTCGCTAATGTATTCTATGAGCAATTTTGTAAATGGACACCAATAACCTAAATGAGATACCTGTTGTGTTTTAATTTTTCCCTTTGGATCTTGATATGTAATTAGTCCAATCGTCAGTGCCGAATTCAGGAGCAGAACACCTTGATTCTCCCAGTTACTTAGATCGCCGTTATTCAGATTTACGCTCCACCCCTCTAAGGCGACCTCTAGCAAGACGTTCATTGCTGATCCAACGGTGCGCGGATTTTCAACACTAAATGCCCTGCCTGTAGCTTTGCCCTCTTGTGGAGTCGGATCCTGACCCAAAATAACCACTTTGACGTTCTCCGGACGGACCCTATTGAAGGCCTCAAACATGAGTTGCATTGGTGGCTCGATGTGATACTTTATGAATGTTCCTTCAATCTCTTGATTTGCTTGTCTTATTATATTTGCTGATTTGATAGCTTGCATAACTTTATCGTTCCAAAAAAAATTTTGCCAGGGTTCTGGAGCACAGTATTTTACAAAATCTTCGAGATTGTCGTTCTCATATTTCGCGCCATTGCAGTTATATTGCTCTTTCTGGCTTTCTTTCTGTCCCAGCATACTTGTCGAACAATCTACAAAGGAATACGTCAATTGCTTCAGTAACATTTTTCCTGCAGTCTTTACGGTTGAATTGGAATCAAATTTGCATAGACTTTACCTTAAATAAATTGGGCAAGCGAGGACGCTACCTTCGTGGATGCCACGGTCAAACGTAAAACTACAATGCCATGCACTTCCGGTCTTAATGACCAAACTGCGAAACTATATACCAGCCTCGTCATGACGTTGAAACATTTCAATTTTCACACAATTTGCCCCTCCCCACCCTTATGTAATGTTGATAAAATAAAAAAAAAACACTTAAAAGGACACCTGTGCCTTTCTCCAATTTCCAGCATTTAAAGGTGTAAGGTAAGTTTGGAGATGTTTTTACTACGTGTAGTTGCTATGATCGAAATTTTAAACATTTTCATCTCTTTTAACTATAAACGCGATGATGCTTGTATCTGCTCAATGCAGTTTCTGCAGAGAAACCTCCTGTTTTCACTAACTGCCTAATATGTCCTTTAATTTTTGCCATGGAGGGTGTGGTTTTTGGCCTCGCTCCCTGGATAGGCACCAAGAAGGAGGTTGATCCCCAATATAAGCTTAAGGTGATTCCTCAGAAGATTGTCGAGTAATTTTTAAGTTATTTTTTTGTAAAAAAATAC